ATGCGGTTTCATTGTCTTTCGCCCAGGAAGTGAAGCCGATTTGTGATGGATTTTTTTTGGCGAGCATCGAATGCCCACCGATGCCTGTAGTCTTGCTAAACGGAAGTGTAATCAGATGAGGTGGAGGCCCCGCTTCACCCTTGCCACCCGCTCCCCTGGATGGGGGCCTGCACCGTGGGGGAGTAGGGGCCGTAGTGAGTAGAGGTCTTTGTTTCAGGCGTTTCCTTGCTTCGGATTCGTCCCTCCTGGACCAGGGCTCTGGAAGCCACTGGCAGTTTTTGCAGCTTAAAACCAAGCAAGCTGTTCTTGCTGTAGGAGTGTGTTACTTAGATGATGGCCTGGGTGTAAGTGGGGTGAATATTGATCGGTTGCGTGAGATCTCTGGGCTCGTGGGCGCATCAACTATCCCTTGGATCCTCATGGGCGACTTTAACATCCCGGTTACGGGCCTTGACTTGGGCGGTTTCCCTAAATTGCGCCATACTCGTGCCATCAAACCTGAAGGAGTTGAATTTACCTGTGCCCAGTGGAGGGGATCACTTTTTGATTACGTGGTGGCCTCTGTAGATATCGCTGATTATTTGCGCGTGGCTAAATATGACCCCTCCCCTTTCAAGACCCGCGCCTGCCTTGCGGTGTCTTTGACGCGCACAGTGGTCGAGCAGGAGCTGTGGCGGCGTCAGCGTGCACCTTCTTTCCCGCCACGCTTTGGACCCGACCTACCTTGGACTCAGTATCTAGAGCAGGTGGCAGAGCATGATATCCTTCCCCTTCAGTTTTTGGCTGAGAAGTTGTTGCCGCATGTCGCTGAGAATGCGTCGTCTGACCTCTCGTTGTAGTACTCACTCTGGAGCAAGGCCACTGCGAATATGTATTTGACCAGGGCCTCGGCGCGCGAGCTTGCCCCTCCTGAAGGATCCAGAGGTGCGCGCCCTATTTTCCAGTTCGGGAAAGTTGGGCGACGGGGTGTTTGTGGAGAAAGCTTTCGGCAACCTTCGCCCTGTCTCTGGGCCCATGTTTCTCAGAAGTTCTGGGGGTATCGAATTACTAGTGCAAAACGTTCTTGGACGTCGTGTGCTATCCTGAGGGGTATCCTAGCTGGCCTTGCTCCTCGGGTGGCTGAGTTTCATGTAGCAGGATATGCGCGGGCCCCTGAATGGTGGCGGGCTCACTTGTCTAGCCTGCCCCAGGGTCTGGACGATCTTAATTTGCTGTCCGATGCGATTAGCGCTACTCTGACTAAGGCGTGGAGCGCTGCGCGTGCGGAGACTAAGGCTGGCATGAAGCAGTGGCTCTTTGAAGGCGCTGCCTCGGGGAGCGAAGCGAGTCCACTCGTGGCTGCGGCGCGACCGAGGTGCCGACCTCGAAGTTGTAGTAGCACCAGCTGACGCGCATCAGCTCCCTGATGAGATGATGAGATACCGCGAGGACTTTTGGGGTAAATTCTGGAAGGCCGAAGGGGGCAAACGCGAGCAGCTGTCTGGGGTCTTGGATGCCCTCCGGCCTTTGGCCCTGGGGTCCTTGGAGGATCTTGAACCTCTGGAACCAGGAGATATTCAGAGAGCTGCTCGTCTTTTCCACGAGGACACTCGCCGCCTGATGCAGTGAAGTCGTACGCCCACCTCCTTAATAGTTGTGCGAATCGGCTCATGTGGCCGACGCAGATTTTGTCGGGCATCATAGCGTTGCTGCTTACGTCGGCTGAGAGCGAAAGACCTGTGTGCAAGTGTCCCTCCCTGTACCGCGTGTATTGCAAGGCTCGTGGAGGCCATATTGAAGATTGGCCTCTGGCCCAGGTCAACCATTGGGACACTGCGATCCGAGGGTCTTCGGCGCTGCAGGCTGCGCTTAACCGAGAGCTAGGCCATGAGATGACCAGATATCTGGGGTTGTGCTCGGTCGGAGCTTATTGGGGCCTTAAGAAGTTCTTTGACGCTGTCGACCCTTGTCGCCTTGCTGGACTCGCCGTGAAAATTTGTTATCCTCTGTTCCTCCTGTATTTGGGGGTAGTGATGCATGAAGCTCCGCGTATCGTCGAGGTCCAGGGTTTTTGTTCTGACCTCATACCCACGGGCATGGGCATCTTGCCTGGTTGTGGCCAATCCATGCCGTGGATTAAGATTTACTTGTATGATATACTGGACCAGGCGCACGCCTCCTTCTTGCCAGTCCGCGTCAAGGGATACGTGGACGATATCACTCAGACGCAGCAGGGATCCCGTGAGGAAGTTCTTGCCGCATTCGTGCCGGCCGCTTTGCACTTGTGCCGCGAGCTGGAGGCTGCTGGCACCGTTATTGCTGACAAAAGTACGTTGTTGGTCTCCCGCACAGAGCTCGGAGCCGAGATCACGCAGATGTTTGCTTCGGTCAACCCACCAATTCAGTGGAAAGACTCGGTCCGAGATCTGGGGGTCATGTCTTCTGCAGGTCTCCGCCGTAACATGAGTAAGTTGCGACGGCGGCGTGCTACTGCTTACCGCAAGAGCCAAATGGTGAGTGTTCTTGCTCGGCTTGTTGGTCGAGCTAGCAAGCTGCATAAGCCTGGGGTCCTGGCAGCGGGGTCGTGGGGCCATGAGGTCCCGGGGCTTTCTCCTGGGCAGGTGAAGTCGATGCGCGCTCAGGCTGCCACGTGCTCTGGGTTGTGGGCCCCTGGGGCTTGCACCGCCACTTTGCTTGGCTTCTTGGGGGCTGCGAAGGATGACCCCCAGTTTAGGCTTCGCTATGAACAGCTCAATGGATGGGCCTTGGCTTGGGCTGACCTTGGTCATAAATCTCGCAGGTTATGCGCTGAGGTTTGGATTAGGATATGTACTAAGATGGGTCAGATCAAGTACCGTTGGCAGGTTGTTCGAGGGCCGATGGCGGCCACGATAGCTGCGCTTCGTGATCTAGGCTGGCAGGCTGAGTCACCAGGGTTCTGGCGTGCTGAGGATTCGGTTTTAAGGTTGAAGGATGGTGCTTTCCCTTTCCAGCTTTGGGGTGCGCTTTCGAAGACGTGTTCTGCTGAGTCCTGGGGTCAGGCTTCGAAGCACTTCTGTGGTACAGGCCTGGAAAGAGGAGTTGATTTTACCCCTGTGCGGCGCTGTTTGGCCAGGCTTGCTCGTGACGGCGAGCACGAGTCAGCTGGCATGTTGTGCAATGTGCTCATTGCCGCTTTTTGGCCTGGAGAGCGATTGCACGCTGCTGGTTACGCTTCTGCTAGTAATGGGCTCTGTGGGAGATGCGGAGAAGCTCCTGAGTCCCCGTTGCATCGACACTGGCAGTGCGTGTGCAATCGTGCTATCCCTGACCACACGATTGAAAAATACTGACTTCCTGGCTCCCAGGGCCATCGCCGAAAATCATAAGGTGAGTTGTTGGTGTCGTGGGCGCCCGTCTCTGGGCGACTCCTTAGGGCTCCTTCCCCTTCCTCCGCGGTTCGTTTGGGGTCGGGGAAGGTGCGTTAAGGGGGAGCTCATACGTGGGGGCGTCTGGGGTGTTGATGGTTCTGGAGGCAAATACTCGAAGGATTGGAGGTTAATGCGATGTGGATGGTCCTTCGTGCACCTTGGCCCCGACGGCAGGATAGATGCTGCGCGGTGTGGATCTGTGCCGCGCGCGCTTCAGTCTTCTCCGGGGGCCGAGCGCTATGCTCTGATCGAGCTGATGCGAGCTAGTGTCGGTGACGTTCGAGTTTATTGTGACTGCCTGTTGGTCGCGAAGGGCGCCAGAAAAAAGTTTGCGGTCGAAGAGGAAATCTAGTATGCTGGACTTGTGGGCTGAATTTCATGATGTGCTTTCCGAAGGTCAGGGTTCGCTCCGACTGATCTGGGCCAAAGGACACCCCACCCAAGCCCAGGCCGATAACATGTTTTTACCTGATGTAGAAGTGTATTTAAACCAGGCTGCGGACCGCATTGCTGATTGGGCTGCTGAGAAGGCCCAGTTAAGTGAGGATCACGTTTCCCTGATTGTGCGGGCTGATGAGCTTGCCGTGCAAATTTTAACCAGGATCCTGGCCGTGCAGCGTGAAGTTTTGTTTTCCTCGGAGCGTGAGAAGAGTGGACTCCGTGGGCCGCGGCGAACTCGCGGAGTAGTCTCCTTTCTTTCCGAACGGATTTGCAGGTTGAGAGATGCGGGCCACGAGCCCGCTGTGCAGAAAGCATGCATCGAGTGCAAGCAGTGTGGACTGAATTTTAGCCTGAGAGGCCAGCTGGCGTGCTTCTGGCCCACGCCGTGTAAGCCTCGGTGTATCATCCAGCAGCGAGTCCAGCTGCTTGCGCCGCGGGAGGCGAGGGGTGACACGGGCGTGGACCCCGCCCCTGCTGCCCTGGGGCCGTCGGGCTTGTGTGGGGAAGCCCTGGATCACCCCTTGGCCGACCGCTGTCACCCCTCCCACCGACTGGCGGCGCAGCGAGGTGTTCTGTTTTGCACTGTCTGTGGAGGATTTTGCACAGTTGCTCCTCCCCGCATCCTGAATCGAGAGTGCGGGGACCCAGCCCGAGGGCCATGCCCTCGAAGGCCGGGCGCGAGGTGCTGTCGCGCCTGTTCAGGGGGGTGCCACCAAAGTCGGGCACCTCTTTCCCTGATTTGGCGTGAATGTGAAGAAGCGGCCTGCCTTGAGCAGGACCCCCGCCGTAGATAGAATTAGAATTAGAATCCCTCCTCATCCTCCTCCTCCTTTCTCGCCTTCCTCCCCGCCGCAGGCCGTCAGGCGGGGCGGCCTCCAGGGGGGGGGCCCCAAATGCGGGCGGCAGTTCGCCCGCGGTCCGCAGGCGCCGCAGCGGCACGTGCGCGCCCGCAGCCGGCGCCCGCAGCGGCCCGATGGCAGGGAGCCATGTCTCTCCCTGGCCTGCTACTCCGCACGAGAGGGACTAGCCTTCTAGTCTACCAGGCCTCGAGTACCCTCGCAGCCGCATCATCGGTTACGCATGCGCCCTCGGGGTCAGATGGCGGCAAAAAAGTTGGGACGACGACGACGACGACGACGACGCGGCGTTGCAGAAACCCGCCGCCAGCAGGCACCGCCGCACGCCCCAGCCGCGCCCGCCGGCTGGTCCGGCGCGCCCGCGCCCGGCGCTGAGTCCGTGCCGGAGGCCGCTCCAGCCGCCTCGCACTTCGCCGGCGGCGGTAGCGGCGGACGTTGGCGACGATGACGACGACGACGACGACGACGACGACGACGACGACGACGACGACGACGACGACGACGGCGGAGGCGGCTACGACGACGGCGGCGAGGCGGCGATGACGACGGCGGAGGCGGCGGCGGCAAGGCGGCGACGACGACAGCGGAGGCGGCGACGCCTACGGCGACGCGCACGACGGCAGCGGCAGCGACGGCGACGGCGACGGCCACAGTGACGGTGACGACAACGCCCCCAGACCTCAGACGTCGTGATGTCTGTTCGACCCCGACATGTTTCGTCGATTACGGCCTCCAGAGGCCCACGGGCCCACGGTCCGGTGTGAGAGACTAGTCCCAGGAAAGAAGCTGGGAGTCCATGGGGCCAACGCATTGACAGAATCACGGCATCGGAGGCGTTTGACGTTGCCGCCGGTGTCGCTGTCGTCGTCGACAGCAACGCGACCCTCGATCCTCGATGATGGGTGTCAGCCAGGTTCCACCGCGCGCGCCAGAGGCTCCTGAGATCCTGGCGCCGCCTACACCAGGCAATGTTGCACCACTTCGGGCCCCAGAGCCCTCACGAATCGATCTGGCTCGAGATGCGCCAAAAAGATCGCCGCCGCCGCCCGTCTCCTGGGTCTGCTTGCCAGTCTGGCGGCTATGTCGTCGCCGTCGCCGCCCTGTCGCCGCCTCGTCGCCGCCTGTCGTCTGGGCCTGTCTGTCGGTCTGGCGGCTATGTCGTCGCCGTCGCCGCCCCATCGCGCCCCGTCGCCGCCCGTCGTCTGGGCCTGACCGCTGGTCTGGCAGCTATGTGGCACCACATCGATTGCATAACATCGGTTGCATAACGGGGATTGCACAGCAGAGACTGCGTCACATATTTTCTCTTATCTAAAAAGAGAATATTTAATATGTTATATACAGATGATTCTGCCCCATCGTCCATCCGAAATATGAGTTCATACCATCCCTGCCCAACCGGTATGGATCCCCCCGTCATCCTCTTGAAAATAAAATGCGCGCACACTCGTTTATCAAACATCAGCAGTTTTCAAACGTCACTTGCACGCGCGCGTCGTCGCGCGCGAAACCCCAGGTTTCGGAAGGATTTCAACATCGAGTGTCCAATAATCATAGTTGTTTAAATAAAAATGGTCTCGCAACACGGCTGTTCAAACACAATTTGCGTTTTTTTGTTCAGCAGTTTGAAGACATACTGCCAAACGGGTTCGCGCGCGCGCATGTCGAAATTGTTCGAACGATGTTGCGCGGAGAGGCCCAAGCTATAGGAACGGACGTGCATAAAACACTACGGATTGGAGCCGCAGGAGAGAGAATCTTTAGGAACGCACGTAAAACACCAAGGACTCCCCCAGGGGAGGTCCGATCTCTAGGAACTTAATTTCGTTAAACACTTAGGATTGGATGCGCGGGAGAATGACACTCGATAGAAACAGACGTAAACCACTAAGGATTCGTGCTCCAGGGGAGGCACAATGTATAGGAGCATACATACAACACATGGGATTGGAGCCACTCCTGTGGCCTTCTAAGGCCTCCTGCTCCTGGGGCCTCTTGGGGCCTCCTGTTGCCTTCTGGGGCCTCCTGGTGCCCCTTGGCGCTTCCTGTGGCCTCCTGGGGCCTCCTGGAGCATCCTGGAGCATCCTAAGGCCTTCTGGAGCTTCCTGGTGCCTTCTGGAGCGTCTTGGGGCATCCCGTGGCCTCTTCTGTCTTCCTGTGGCCTCCTGCTGCCTCCTGGGACACTCTGTTGCCTACTGGGGCCTCCTGGAGCCTGCTGGAGCCGCCTGTGGCATCCGTGCCCACGAGTCTGGCCACCAAAACAATCAAAAACCGATCGAGACATCCTCAAAATCTGGCCCCCCTTGGGGGCGAAAATCAGCGCCCCGCTCGAGACATCTTCAACATCTGCTCCGAAAGCGGAGGATGTCGGATGGTGAAACAGGCAAACCGCTCGAGCCATCCCCGCCAATACCCCCTGCCGTCTCCCCCTTGGGGGTGCTTAAACCCGCGCCTCGCTCGAGACGTCCTCAAAGTCTGCTCCGACTGCAGAGGATGTCGGGTGGTGAAACAGGCAAGCCGCTCGAGACATCCCCGCGATTTGAACGCGAACGGAGGAGTGCAATACCCCCTGGCGACTTCCCCTTGGAGGTGCTGAAACCCGCGCCTCGCTCGAGCCATGCTCAGAAATTGTTCCGCCGTCATCATCATCATCATCATCATCATCATCATCATCATCATCATCATCATCATCATCATCATCATCACCATCATCATCATCATCATCATCATTATCATTCTCATTATCATTATCATCATCATCATCAGCAGCAGCAGCAGCAGCAGCATCAGCATCGTCATCATCATCATCATCATCAGCAGCAGCATCATCATCATCAGCATCGGCAGCATCAGCATCATCAGCAGCATCAGCATCACCATCAGCATCACCAATGTCATCATCGTAGCACAACAAAGCAGTTCATATCATGTCATGTCATAACATGGTATGGCATATAATAACATAACATAGTCTAGCATACCATCGTATAGCATGGCTTATCAGTGTACAACATGGCATAGCACACCTTAATCCAACATAGAGCACATCATACCACAACAAAACATACCATACCATACCATAACAGACCATGGGGGAGGAGGAGGAGGAGGAGGAGGAGGAGGAGGAGGAGGAGTGAGTAAGTGAAGGAATTGGCGTGGTCGAAGTGATAATTCACTGCGTGGAGCTCCCCATATGTGCATCTATTCGCCAGGACCTGTCCGCCGTGAGTGTCCAGGCGCAAGAGTTTTCGAATATCAACGAACTTCAGTAGTGACGGTCTGGGAGTAAATCTAATTGTGCACGAGTTGGAGCGTTAATGAGTCTCAGTAGTACGAGCGCGTCTCTGCGCATGAGCCAGGGGTCTCTTGGGGCCTCCTGGGGCCTCCTGCATGGGGCTTCCTGGAGCCTCCTGGAGCCCCTTAGGGCCTCCTGGGGCCTCTTGGGACTTCCAGTGGCCTCCTGGGGCCTGCTGGGGCCTCGTGTGACCTCATGGGGCCCTGGAGCCTCCTGGAGCCTCCTGGGGTCTCCTGGGCAGGATTCGTACCCCAGGAGAGGCCCATTCTATAGGAACAGGCGTGCATAACACATTGCGGATTGTAGCCGCAGGAGAAGGGCAATCTATAGGGGCACACGTAAAACACCAAGGACTCGGGCACACATGGAGGCCCAATATATATATATATATATATATATATGAGAGAGAGAGAGAGAGCGTGATCCACCGCCGCTTCACTGTGGAAAATTGCCAACCTTTTCCTCCGGAACCCAGGGGTCGCCCCCCCCCCCCCCCCCCTCCGAAAATCCCCCCCCCCCCTGCTGGAACCCCTCCCCCCCCCCCCCCTCCCCGGCAAAACCCCCCCCCTCCCGTAACCCCTCCCCCCCCCCCCCCCCCCCTCCCCCTCGAAAACCGGGGGGGTCACTACCGGTTCGAACCCCCCCCCCCCCCCCCCTCCGGATCCGGAAAACCGGGGGGGGTCACTACCGGTTCGAACCCCCCCCCCCCCCTCGAAAACCGGAGGGGGATCACTACCGGTTCGAACCCCTCCCTACCCCCCCACTCACCGCCAGCAAACGACTCCCGGTCCCTACCACCGTCCGCATCACATCCTCCACTGTTGTTCCCAGCACCACTGTCCTCACCACCACTGTCCCCACTGTGTCCCCACCAGTGCCCCCACCACTGTCGCACTGTCCCCACTGTCCCCACCACTGTTCCCACCACGGTTCCACTCTCCCCACTGTCTCCACGGCCCCAACCACTGCCCGACTATCCCCACTGTCCCCACTGTCCCACTGACTCCGCCGCTGTCCCACTGAGCTGTCCCACTGTTCCCACCACTGTCCCCACTGTCCCCACCACTGTCCCCACTGTACCTCTGTCCCATTGTCCCACCGCCGTCCTCGCCACCGCCTTCACCACTGTCCCCACCACCATTGTACCCTCCACTGTCCCACTGTTTCCACCTCATTCCCACTGTGCCCACACCGCTGTCCCCACCACCACCGTCCCCACCACTGTCCACTGTCCCCCCTGTTCCCACCATTGTCCCCACCACTGTCCCCACCACTACCGGCCCTCTACTGTCCCACTGTCCCACTGTCCCCACCACTGTCCCGCTGTCCCCTCACCACTGTCCCACCAACACCGTCCCCACCTCTGTCCGCACCCCCACTCGGTTTTCGAGGGGGGGGGGGGTTCGAACCGGTAGTGACCCCCCCCCTTTTCATGATGAGCTGGGGGGGGGGGGAGGGGTTCGAACCGGTAGTGACCCCCCCCGGTTTTCCGGAGGGGGGAGGGGTTCGAACCGGTAGCGACCCCCCCCGGTTTTCCGCCAGCAGCGGTAGAACACGCTCTTTCACATTATATATATATATATATATATATATATGTATATATATATATTATATATATATATATGTGTGAGAGCAGACGTAGACCATGCAGAATTTGATACACCGGAGAAGGACAGACCATAGAAACATCCGTAACACACCAAGGATTCGTGCTCCAGGTGATGCATAATAAATAGAAGCATGCGTAAACACATGGGATAGAGGCCACTCCTGTGGCTTTCTGATGCCTCCTGCTCCTCGGGCCCCTTGGGGCCTCCTGGACCCTCTTGGGGCCTCCTGGGGTATCATTGAGCCTCCTGGGGCCTCTGGGGGCCCTCTGTGGCCTCCTGATACCTCCTGGAACCTCTTGTGGCCTCCTGGAGCCTCCTGGAGCCTGCTGGAGCCTCATGTGGCATCCTGAAGAGGATCCGTGCCCACGAGTCCGAACAGCAACATAGGCAAACCGCCCGAGGCATCCTCAAAATCTGGCCCCCCTTGGGGGCGAAACTGAGCGCCTCGCTCGAGACACCCTCCAAATCTGCTCCGAAAGCGGA